ACAACAGACTAAAGAAAGAAACGTCTGCCACGCTAGAGTATTGGGAGGGGAAATACCTAGTCTGGGTGGGAAGGGTGGCAGCAATCAAGATGATGCTGTTCCCAAAATTCCAGTATCTACTGTGCACCCTTCCTATTACGCTCCCAAACACATACTTAGCCTCCTTCCAAAAATTACTAGTCCGCTATGTATGGGCCAATCAACGGCCAAGAGTAGCCACCATGCTCTTGCAAAGACCAATCACAAAAGGGGGACTGGGACTACCAAATATACAGACTGTAGCGGATGGCACTGGGCTGTCCTGCAAATGTCTTTGAAATAATTGCATTCGTATGATCTGCTAGTTTTCTATGTGTTTTAAAAGCCTTGTATTCTTCTGATTGTTCGGTAGTTTCATTCCCTTAGTTTATTCGAATGAAAATACCGAACAACCAGACCTCCCCTGTGTAAAGTGTGTCCTCAATTACCCGTTGCAACATTGTTGCGAACGGGTAATTGACTAGGAAGTAGCCGTCCTTTGTTCTCGGGGGTGGCCGCCATTCGACAAACGAACACGTGGCCATTTTAAAACTCCCGAACAGCGGTGTTTTGCCGTCGAGTGTCTGGAACTAAAATCGGACACTCGAGTAGGCAAACACCGCTGAGACCTCCACAAACCTGGTCCGTTCGGTTCCAAACTCCCGAACGGCCCCTCGTTCGGTAGATAGAAAATACCGAACGAGGGGATTCAGGCGAACCCTCCCTAGCATCTATAGCTAGAGGCTTTCATGTATTTTGTTCCCTTATGCCAGGACCGACCGCAGGGCCCATTCGTATGGAACCGTATTCGGCTATCTCAGTTAGTGCGGTCGGTTACTTTATTTCCTCCATACATTTCCCGAACCCCTGGTCTGATCTGGTTAATTTTTGGATATGTTGTTCCCCCAGATCAGGGGTATCCGGGGATGTAGGATTTAAAGAGGTACCCCTACGTTTAGGGGTACATCCAGAAACGGGGGGAATTACTGTACTGGATAAGGGGATTATGATGCTGGCTGAGGGGAGGAGATGTGTGGGAGGTTACCAGGACAGGATTGGCTACTGCGATAATTACTGTAAATCCCTCCCTTGCATGGGAGCATGCTTTATAAGGAGACTGTGGATTAAAAGCTTTCAGTTCTGCTCCTGAAACTGTGTGTCGTCCAGTTATTGGGATTGCTGTGGGGATATTGCTGTTGTTTTACCTGCTGGAAACTTTGCCTATGGATTTATTATTTACTTGTTCCTGAGCTTCACTTGGATTATAAGCGGAGATAACCTGGGGAGTATTGCATCTCCGCTACATTGGTTGGCAGCGCTGGGATCCAGACTCACAAGGGAACAAGTACTAATGGAATACGGATGGAGAGTGATTATGCCAAGCTTAAAAGATCCACGCTAAAAGATCTCCTGGAAGCGAAAGGTATTGCAGCAAGCAACAAAAAGAAAGCAATCCTCATTGCAGAAGTGATGGCTGAATACCAGCAGGAGGACAGGGTAATCCCTGAGCAGCAGAGTGCAGCAGATGGAGCTGAAAAAGAAGAGTTCCGGAGAGAAGTGCAGTTCAGGCTGTCCTTTTATGAAGAGAATCCAACAACGGATATTATATCCAGGACAATGACAGAGGTACAGGAGTGTATACTGCGTCAAAGGCCACTACAGCAGCTGGAGAGGAATGCTACCACAGCTACCATCACACAGGGTAAGACAAAAATTCCTTACCAAGCCTTTAATACGTATATAGAAGCAGAGGAAGATATAGGTGCTTTTCTCCAAGACTTTGAAAGGCTGTGTGCATTGCATAGTATTAGCCCAGACGAGTGGGTGCCTATTTTAGCAGGGAAGCTCACAGGGAAGGCTGCTGAAGCCTATAGAACTGTACCTGATGAGGAAATTCGGAATTACCGCAGAGTAAAAGAAGTGATCCTGGCCCGATATGCAATCACACCAGAGGCATATTGGCGGCGGTTTAGAGACCTAAAGAGAAATGATAAGGACTCTCATGTGGAATGGGCTTGCAAGTTGCATCGGGCTGCTCTGGGGTGGGTACAGTCCAATAAGGCTCGGTCCATGGAGGACTTGTTACAAATGGTGTTGTTGGAGCAATTTTATGAGGGGGTAACCGGCGATGTCCAGGAATGGGTGAGGGACAGAAACCCTACCTCCCTCACCGAAGCTGCCAGGAAGGCAGATGAGTACTTGGATGCACGCAGGCAGCAGAAACCTGCAGCCCCAAAAACCATTTTTAAAACATTTGGGGGAAACAGCTACAACCCAGCTCCACCGAGGCAACTGCCACCACCACCACCACCCGCTGCACAGCCACGTTTTCGCCAGCCCGCTTCTGGCCCCTGTCATCACTGCCAGAAGTGGGGACATTATAAAAGGGAATGTCCCCAGCTGAGGGATCGTTCTACCTGGATTCGCCCCGGCCCACCACCACCACCTAGAGCAGCCGCCGCCCATCACTACCAAGATATAGTGGCCACACCATATGGGTCAGCCCTTCCCATAACAACCGTGGAACAGTGGGAAGTACTGCACGAGGCGGATCCAGTCCAGGCCAATGCTGATAACAGACAGCATCACAGGCAGACCGTATACCTGGAGGGTAAAGCGGTACAGGGACTACGTGATTCGGGGGCTACTATCACCTTGGTAAAAAGTCACCTGGTGTCGGATCAAGCGAGACTGAGTAAAACTGTGGCCGTCAGGGTAGCCGGGGGAGCAGTGTACCGGCTACCTACAGCAAGGGTACATTTACATTGGGGAGCGGGGGCAGAACATGTGGAGGTGGGGTTGATGCCACAGTTACCGGCGGAGGTATTGTTGGGGAACGATCTGGGGAGGCTCACGTCTGCTTTTGAGCCCCAGACGTTCACCACAGGAGAAGCTCACCCTGTGGTCACCCGTCAACAGGCCCGCACCCAGGACTACAACACACTTCCGGAGGTTCAGGTAAGAGACCCTTCCCCTTCCCTTGACTGTGTCCCCTGGGCCCCTCCTAACGAATTTGCAGCGGAGGTAGTGACTGACCCCACCTTGCAGGTATACAGGGACAAGGTGACAGCAGACCCTCCTGGGGGAGAGGGGGAGAGATTTGTCTGGGACAAGCAGCTTTTGTACAGGGAGACAGACAAGCAGATTGAGGGGTCAGACCCAATAGTGATGAGGCAGCTAGTGGTGCCGCAGCGGTACCGAGCAGAGCTACTCCGGATAGCGCACGATATCCCGCTATCCGGACATCTAGGGGTCAGCCGCACTAGGTACCGACTGACCCAAAGTTTCTTCTGGCCAGGGATCAGCCAGGAAGTGCGCAGGTATTGCACCACCTGCGATACCTGCCAGAGGGTAGGGAAAAGGGGAGACCGGAGGAAGGCGAAACTACACCCCTTGCCAATAATTGAGGAACCTTTTAGCCGAATAGCGGTAGACTTGATAGGTCCCCTCAAGAAAGCTAGCCCGTCAGGCAAAAGGTACATTTTAACGGTAGTAGACTATGCTACCAGATATCCAGAGGCAGTGGCTCTGACCAACATTCATGCTGAAACGGTCGCGGATGCCCTCATGCAGATATTCTCCCGGTTGGGATTACCCAGGGAGATTATCTCGGATCAGGGTACCCAATTTACCGCAGAATTCACCCAACACCTCTGGAGGATCTGTGGCATTAAGCCTATTATCAGTGCCCCTTACCACCCCCAGACTAATGGGCTCTGCGAACGGTTCAATGGCACATTGAAACAAATGCTCCGAACCTTCGCAGAGACCCACAAGGACTGGGAGCGGTTCCTGCCGCATCTCCTATTCGCTTACCGGGAGGTGCCGCAGGAATCCACGGGGTTCTCCCCGTTTGAACTGCTGTTTGGGAGGAGGGTCAGAGGCCCCTTAGATCTTATAAGAGAGCATTGGGAGGGAGACCGGAGCGCAGATGGCACCCCCATCATACCATATGTGTTGGCCCTCCGAGACCGCCTGGAAGCCTTAACTAGGACGGTAAGGGAAAACCTTCAGGCGGCACAGACCCGCCAGCGCACATGGTATGACCGGGGAGCCAGGGACCGTAGCTTTCAGGTCGGGCAGAAAGTGCTAATTTTAAAGCCTGTCCGACATGACAAGCTACAGGCCGCCTGGCAGGGACCTTATAGGGTGGTGGAACAGAGATGTGACACCACCTATATAATTGGCCCCTGTACAGGGACGGGAGGGCGACGCATGCTCCATGTGAACATGATGAAGCCCTACCAAGAGCGCTCCGAGGAGGTAACCGCCATATGTGCGCCCAATTCTGATGAGTTTGACAGCTTACCACTCCCAGATCTGCTGGAAGATGGGCAGTTGTCTGGGGATTTAGGGGAAGTCACACTGGGAGACCGGCTGAGCCCACAGGAGCGCATCGAGGTACAGCAGCTGTTGGAGGAGAAACGAGACACGTTCTCTAATGTACCTGGGTACACCCCTCTGGCCACTCACCGGGTAGAGACCCCAGGGCAACTACCGATGCGCCAGACCCCCTAACGCATCCCAGAAGCGGTAAGGGAAAACATGAGATCGATGAGATGCTCCAACTGGGGGTGATTGAGCCCTCAGATAGTCCCTGGGCTTCTCCGGTAGTGCTCGTACCGAAGCGGGACGGTACGACCCGCTTCTGCGTAGACTACCGGAGATTAAACGAGAAAACTGTGCCCGATGCATACCCTATGCCACGGATAGATTTGCTACTGGATAGAATGGCCAGGGGTCAATACCTCACTACCATCGACTTATGTAAGGGGTATTGGCAAATCCCCCTGGCCCCAGAGGCCATCCCGAAGTCGGCCTTTGTCACCCCATTTGGCTTGTACCAGTTTAAGGTCATGCCATTTGGGATGAAAAACGCCCCAGCTACTTTCCAGAGGATGGTAGACCGACTCCTGGATGGGTTCCAAGACTAAACCTGTGCATACCTGGACGATATTGCCATTTTTAGCAATACGTGGCAGGAGCACTTGGCCCATATAGGAGCGGTACTAGACAGGATTAAGGAAGCTGGTTTGACATTGAAACCGGCCAAGTGCAGCATAGGGATGGCCAAGGTGCAGTACCTCGGACATAGAGTGGGGTGCGGCAAACAGAAGCCCGAACCAGCCAAAGTAGAAGCCGTGGCCCAGTGGCCCACCCCTAGGACTAAAACCCAGGTGTTAGCCTTTCTAAGGACCGCTGGGTATTACAGAAAGTTTGTCCCTAACTATAGTGCCCTCGCCAAACCCCTCACTGACCTTACCCGGAAGAATTTGCCCCGCCAGGTGACCTGGACCCCGGAGTGTGAGCAGGCATTCCAGCATCTGAAAAATGCACTGATAAATGCTCCTGTCTTGGCAGCTCCCAATCCAACTAAACGTTTTCTTGTTCACACAGACGCTTCTATGTTTGGATTGGGAGCAGTACTGAGCCAAGTCGGAGCCGATGGCGGAGAACACCCCGTGGCTTACATCAGTCGCAAGCTGTTACCCCGAGAAGTGAGCTACGCCGCCATCGAGAAGGAATGCCTGGCTGTGGTGTGGGCCTTAAAGAAACTGCAGCCGTTATATATGGACATCTATATGGACAGCCCTTTTCACTACTCACGGATCACAACCCGCTGGTATGGCTAATCCGGGTGGCTGGGGACAATGCCAGGCTGCTGCGCTGGAGTTTGGCGCTGCAGCCTTTTGACTTTAATATTCAGTACCGCCCGGGTAAACAGAATGGGAATGCCGACGGGTTGTCGAGACAAACTGACCTGGAAAAATGATCCGTGAGTCCCCGGACATCCCCAAGCCGATCCGTGTTGGATCAGACTGTGTATGCCGGCTTGTGGGCAAGGGGGAGCAGTGTAGCGGATGGCACTGGGCTGTCCTGCAAATGTCTTTGAAATAATTGCATTCGTGTGATCTGCTAGTTTTCTATGTGTTTTAAAAGCCTTGTATTCTTCTGATTGTTCGGTAGTTTCATTCCCTTAGTTTATTCGAATGAAAATACCGAACAACCAGACCTCCCCTGTGTAAAGTGTGTCCTCAATTACCCGTTGCAACATTGTTGCGAACGGGTAATTGACTAGGAAGTAGCCGTCCTTTGTTCTCGGGGGTGGCCGCCATTCGACAAACGAACACGTGGCGGCGGCCATTTTAAAACTCCCGAACAGCGGTGTTTTGCCGTCGAGTGTCTGGAACTAAAATCGGACACTCGAGTAGGCGAACACCGCTGAGACCTCCACAAACCTGGTCCGTTCGGTTCCAAACTACCGAACGGCCCCTCGTTCGGTAGATAGAAAATACCGAACGAGGGGATTCAGGCGAACCCTCCCTAGCATCTATAGCTAGAGGCTTTCATGTATTTTGTTCCCTTATGCCAGGACCGACCGCAGGGCCCATTGTATGGAACCGTATTCGGCTATCTCAGTTCGTGCGGTCGGTCATTTTATTCCCTCCATACATTTCCCGAACCCCTGGTCTGATCTGGTTAATTTTTGGATATGTTGTTCCCCCAGATCAGGGGTATCCGGGGATGTAGGATTTAAAGAGGTACCCCTATGTTTAGGGGTACATCCAGAAACGGGGGGAATTACTGTACTGGATAAGGGGATTATGATGCTGGTTGAGGGGAGGAGATGTGTGGGAGGTTACCAGGACAGGATTGGCTACTGCGATAATTACTGTAAATCCCTCCCTTGCATGGGAGCATGCTTTATAAGGAGACTGTGGATTAAAAGCTTTCAGTTCTGCTCCTGAAACTGTGTGTCGTCCAGTTATTGGGATTGCTGTGGGGATATTGCTGTTGTTTTACCTGCTGGAAACTTTGCCTATGGATTTATTATTTACTTGTTCCTGAGCCTCACTTGGATTATAAGCGGAGATAACCTGGGGAATATTGCATCTCCGCTACACAGACAAACTACAAAGAGCCCAATTAGCAACAATCAAAGGGGCAACAACAGGGGGAGAGTTACCACAATGGACCCAGATAGAGGCCCACTGGATAAACAGTCCAACACTTGGGGAATTATTTTGTATCCCACAGCAGCTCCGTCCCCGAACCATGAAGCCCCTACAGACCACACAACAGACACTCAGAACCTGGGATGACCTCCAAACGAAAGAAGGGGAAGGCGAAGACATAGATGGAGATGCCCCAATATCATGCCTAGCAATGGTGATCCTGACATTTGACTCCAAAAAGTGGGCAGCGGGGTGCACCAAGATCAAACATCTATATCAGGCAAATAAGCTGATGCCTTTCCCGGAATTACAAACTCGGTATGACATCCCCACCAGAGCTATGTTCCAACACATGCAACTAAAATCACTGCTTACAGGAGTAAATCTACAAAGTAGGTCAGCACTACAAGAGCAAACAATAGAACAACTATGCCTATCAAACAAGCCCCCCAGAAAAACACTCAACCATATACAACGCACTCATAGACAATAAGACAGAAGCAGACATGGTATTCCAATCAGCATGGCACAAAGAACTGGGGTATGTCATAGACAAAGACCAATTGCGCAGGGCATTCACAATACACAAAGGTAATACACGATGCACGACACACCACAAAATGATTAGGAAGCTGCAATATAGGTGGTACATGGTGCCAGAGAAACTGGCCAGGATATAGCCGAATCACCCTAATGTGTGCTGGAGATGCGGGGAGGTCGGGGGGACCATGGAACACGTGTGGTGGTCCTGTGCACAGCTCAAGACCTACTGGAAAATGGTGAGGGACATAGCAACAGACCTACTAGATAGACCATGGCCATTGACCAAAGAACAGAGCATATTATTCATGATACCACATACACTGACCAAAACAGACGAATGCCTGATATTCCACCTGCTGATTTCAGCAGTAACACTCCTAGCCAGAGAAGCAAAGAGAAGCTCTAACGAAGCAAATTTCCACAAACTGGAAGTACGAGATGATGGCAAATAAACACATAAGACCACTGAAACACACAGGTCAAGCGGGAGAGAGAAGGAGGGCATACACAGACAAGGGCACACAGTGAGGCGAGAAAGAGAGCAACAGCTTCAAAGAAGTGAACCAGGGGTTGAGATAGGGGGCCACACGAGGGAAACCCAACAGACGTTGCAACAGACACTCAAGCACACAAAAGAAGCAGGCCACAAAGGAACAATGGGGAACCCAGGGCTAGAGAGTCACAGCAGGCAGATACACCATAGGCATGAGGTAAATGAGACACATTGGTAACCCGTATGATGAAGGGTTAAAATCACCTGCACAGAGCTAACTATTCTCTATAATGTTCCCTTGAAGAGCAGACACTGAGTGGCGAATCACATGTGTATTAGACAATCAACAAACTGTATATCGTGGAATGTATGATTTATTTATTTTTTCCCCCTTTTTTCTTTCTGTACCCCCAAAGTTCCATATGTCTCAAAAATGACAAAAACAATACAAATTGTCAAATTGAAAAAAATTAAAAATAAAACTGCAATCTTTAAAGGACCACTACAGTGCCAGGAAAACAAACTAGTTTTCCTAGCACTATGTAGTCCTTAGGTCCCACCCACCCTTATGGCCTCCCTACCGCTGGGCTGAAGTGGTTAAAACCCCTTCAGCCACTTACCTTTCTCCAGCGCCAGGCTCCCTCGGCACTGGGGAACTCTCCTCCTCATGCGCGGCAAGAGTCGCGCGTACATTTAAACCGCCCATGGAAAAGCATTACTCAATGCTTTCATATGGACATCAGCGTCTTCTCACTATAATTTTCACAGTGAGAAACAAGGAAGTGGCCTACAGTGGCTGTCAGTGAGACAGCCACAAGAGGCTGGATTATCCCTCAGTGTAAACATAGCAGTTTCTCTGAAGCTGCTATGTTTTCAGCTGCAGGGTTAAAACTAGAGGGACCTGGCATTCATTGAGCTGAAGTGGTCTGGGTGCCTATAGTAGTTCTTTAAGTTTGGATTCCAACATTGTTGAATGGGTAAGGCAATGGCTGAGTGACAGGCAACAGAGGATTGTAATCAATGGAGTATATTCAAAGCATGGTCTTGTCACCAGTGGGGTACCTCAGGAATATTAGTGATATTGCAGAAGGTCTTGATGGTAAGGTCAGGGGCGGATTAACATAGGGGCTGATGGAGCTGCAGCTCCAGGCCCATGGAATAGGCCCACTTTTTTTTTTTTTTTACACTTTTGTTTTTTCCACACACTACTCTTAGGGATTCCACCTGGCTTTTATTTTATTGGCACAGACAGTATTTGAGGCTGCCTGGCTAGTGACAATTGCAGTGATACAGGCAATACAAACGTATTCTACAAATTACTACGCAATACCAGCACTGGCCAGTAGGGGTCGCTGTATGTGGAGACAGGCAGGGATAGGAAGTTCCAGCATATCCCACCCTGCCTATCTATACTCACTGATCTGCAGGGGTGTAGCTGCAGAGAGTCCAGACAGCAACTCCCACCCTGCAGAGACAGCCTACAGCTCAGGGAAGTAAGGGATGGGGGAAAGGCTGCAAGGAGACATACACTGAGACACTAAGGGACATTGGGAGACATTATGACACAGACACATGGGGACACAGTGTCCCCATGTCTCCCAGCCAGTGTCCCTGGTGTCTCAGTGCCCCCTAGTCTCCCAGTGCCCCCAGTCTGCCAGTGTCTCACTGTCCCCATGTCTCCTAGTGCCTCCATGTCTCTCAGTGCCTCAAGTGTCACAATGTCCCCATGTCTCCAAGCTAGTGTCCCTAGTGTCTGTGGCCCTGGTGTCTCAGTGTCCCCATATCTCCCAGTGCCCCCATGTCTCAATGTCCCCATGTCCCCCAGCCAGTGTCTCTAGTGTCTGTGTCCCTGGTGTCTGTGTCCCCTATTTTCCCATTGTCCCAATGTGTCCCAGCCAGAGTCCCCTAGTCTCCCAGTGTCACTGATGTCTCCATGTCCCAAGGTCTCCCCATGTCTCCCCATCTTCCTAGTGACATGGGGACCCTGGGATACATGGGGACAAAGGGAGACATGGGGCATTGAGACACTGTGATACATAGGATCACTGGGAGACCTGGGGACACGACACTAGGGGACACTGGGGGACATGGGGCACTGAGACACTGATATATAGGAACACTGAGACCTGGAGTAATCGACACATGGAGGCACTGAGTCATGAGGGCACTGGGAGACATGGGGGCACTGGGAGGAATCCATCTATACAGCAGAATCAAACT